GTATGTTTAAACACACAAACGCAGGGATGGAATAAAATTGAACCCGACTCTTGCCACAAATGAAACTAGACACTGTGCAGAATTAAAAAACTAAAACACCCAATACCACAAATTCTGAATGACTAATTTGCTAAGAAAGCCAGTCCTCGACTTACAATAGTTCATTTAGTGACCGTTTGAAGTTACAATGGCACTGAAAAAAAGTGACTTACGACCGTTTTTCACATGACCGTTGCAGCATTCCTGTGGTCACATGATCAAACTTCAGACACTCGGCAGCCAACTCATATTTATGACAGTTACTGTGTGTCTCAGGATCATGTGATCTCTTTTAACAAGTAAAATTAATGGGAAAGTCAGATTCACTTAATAATCGTGTTACCGACTTAACAACTGTAGTGATTCACTTAACAACGGTGTCAAGAAAGGTCTTAAAATGGCCCAAAATTCACTTAACAAATGTTTTGCCTAGCAACCGAAACTTTGGACTCAGTTGTGGTCATAAGTCCTGGACTACCTGTGTTTTAATTTCTGATCTAATCCTGTCTCCAGAAAGGATGGCTGAGAAATCTCTGTAAGAAAATTATAACGATAAGAACAATCAATTAATCTAAAATCAATGTAGGCTGTTCTTAAGAGTCCAATTTATTATATTTTATGTGACTGTTTTAATGTATGCAGCAAACACTGAAAGACACATCCTTTCAGGATCCTTTGGCTTAAAGGTCACGGGATCTGGTAGATTTCCCTTAGGGTTACCTTATAAACACTATATTACTATGAACTCTGAACCTAACCCCTAAAGCCAGCCCAGGAAGATATTACAGTAAATGATATTAAAGACTGCTAAGTGATTGGAGAGACTCAACAAATTTCTTTTGTCTCCTTCTTAACAGATCTATCACAAGGACCAAAGCAGCTTCAATGTCAAATGCCAGCTTTCTGGAAATAAAAGATTTAGTCTAAGGGAGGTGGTCAAACATAAAATAAATCTAACTATACAAGAAATGATATGAAACCTTAGAACAGTGAAATAAAACTATTTCGAGCATGCCAATAAGCCAGGGAGATGGTTGGCGCATAAGTTAAAAAAAGAGAAAGAGAAAAAGTTAATACAAGTACTACATGGTGAAAATGGGGCTCCACACTACCTGATAGAAGAAACAAAACCATTGCCCAAAACTATTTTAAGGTGTTATATAGCCAAAATGACATACCGGAAGAAAAGATCAAACAATACTTAAGCAAGAGGAATGTACCTACAATTCCAGAACTTACAAAAGAAATGTTAAATGCTGAAATTACAATAATGGAGATGAAAGAGGCAATCAAGAAACAAAAAAGCAATAAAACACCAGGACCAGACGGAATCCCAGAAGAATTATACAAAGTAATTCAAACCCCTTTGGATCAATTAATGCTGGACTTATACAACGAAACAATAAAACAGGCAAAACTTCCAAATTCTTGGACAGAGGCATATATTGTACTCATTCCAAAAGAGAACTCAAATGACCAACAGATCAAAAATTACAGACCAATCTCAATACTAAATGTTGATTACAAGATATTTGCTACAATAATTGCAGAGAGAATAATTTTTTAAAAAAAATGCATCCAGATCAAAACGGATTTGTACCAAAAAGACATTTAAGAAATAACACAAGAATGATAATAGACGTATTAGAATATTATGAGGCACCTCCAGATAAACAAATGGCACAGAAATTTATGGATGTGAAAAAAGCATTCGATAATTTGAACAGCTTCTGAACTTGAATTCCATCACTGCATACTTAAATAGACAAAATTGGCATAGCAATATTCTAACCATCCACTGACTTTCTGCGCAGTAGGTTACCTGATCATCATAAATGATAAATGTCTTACTGCAGATCAACCTGACATTTAGAGACATTAAGGAACAAGTTACATAAAAATGTTTATTATATATTATGTAATATGTTACAATTTCATAATAAAAGTATTTAGGTTATGAATTTACTGTATATTTGTAATTAAGACCAGAATGCAATGAGACTGAAGTAGGTATAACAGCCATTTATATTTATATTTAAGTCAGAAAGATGACAGGTTTTGTAGCAATGACTACGAGATGTCAGAGGTCTATTAAGTGCAGGTAGTCCTTGACTTACAACAGTTCATTTAGTGACCGTTCAAAGTTATAGCAGCACTGAAAAAAGTGTCTTATGATCATTTCCCACACTTACGACCTTTGTAGCATCCCCATCAAAATTCAGATGCTTGGCAACTGGTTCCTACTTATGACCGTTGTTGTGTCCCAAGGTCATATGATCACCTGCTGCAACCTCTGGATAAGCAAAATACATGGGGAAGCCAGATTTGCTTAACAACCGTGTTACAAACTTATCAACTGCAGTGATTCACTTAACAACTGGCACAAGAAAGGTTGTAAAATGAGGCAAAACTCATTTAATGGAAATTTTGGGCTCAATTGTGGTCGTAAGTCGAGGGCTACCTGTATAGCATAACAATGGAAACTTCTAGTGTCTACAGAGAGAGGGAAAAGTCACTTTGAATGGGTCTGGAAATGATTCCTGCAGGGTAATGAAACGTCTGCAAGAAAACGAGCAGGCTCAGAGAGCACCAAGGACCTCTCATTTCAACCCTGTGCTACAAATATTCTCCTTTCTTTCTACATCTACAGATGACAAAAATGCTGAGAAAGCAGTTTCTTCTTTTATCAGTTTTATTCCTAGCAAATCTTAACAATAGTCCTAGGAAAATTTGTCTTGACTACCACCATGGAGACAAAAAGAACACGTTCCTGGAAACAGCATTACTTTATAAGGAGGAAGCCAAGATATTTTGTGTTTCATTTAAAATTTATTCCTAAAACAAAGGTAGTGCAGCATCTTTTCCAAAAATACACAGTCTTTCAAATAAGTAAAGAGGCAAAAGCAATACTGAGAAGCACAAAATTCGGTTCTGTTCCAATGTGCTTTAATTCAATGGATTTGATTTCTGAAAATACTCCTGTTTTTAGGCTCAAAGGGGATTTGAACTAGCCAACTTCCCCAATCCATAAACTGTTGGTCGTTGTGATAAGTAACTCATGGCTACAGAAATACTGGTAGTCCTCAACCTACAATAGTTAATTAAGTGATTGTCCAAAGTGTTATGAACTAACAAAAATCATTTAATAAAACTTACTAACATTATGTTAAGCAGGCTTGAAATCCTGCACTTGGATTGGCCCTTGGATAGCGAACTGGGATTGGTCCTCACGGAGCAACCTGATTGGCTATTAGTTTAACATCTCTCATTGGGCAAAAGTTAAGCATTTGGACACAGGTCATTGGTTAACAGGTCAGTAGCTAGCTCTATAAAAGGGCTACTGCTACCCCATGGTTTTCGCTCTCTGTTTCTGATCTTTAATAAAGAGTTGAAGTTCACTAAGTCACTGACTCGTCTCAATTGCTTGCACCCATGCCCAGAATATAACACAAAGTTACAACAGCACTGAAAAAATAACTTCGGACCATTTTTCAGAGTTACAACTTTTACAGCATCCCCATGGTCACGTGATCAAAACTCAGACCTTGGCAACAGACTCACATTTATGACTATTGCAGTATCCTGGGATCATGTGATCACCTTTTCCAATCTTCAGACAAGTGATGGGAAATCATATTCACTTAGCAACCATGTTACTTACTTAACAGCTGCAATGTTCCACTTAACTGGCAAGAAAGGTCATAAAATGGGACAAACATCACTTAACAAATGTCTTGCTTAGCAGGAGAAATTTGGGATCAAATGCGGTCTTAAGTCAAAGGTTACCCTTTTCTTCTGGCACACACTCCACACGGGAAGTATTGGTACCACCATGGCTGGTATACCGCGACTTAGGCTGAGACGTGTGAAATTGAGAAGGACGTTTTGCTTTGATCCAAGTTTCTTCAGATAATCCTTCAAGGTAGCTCAATGAAGGTGTGCCCTGAGTGCTGCATGGAACCAACACACAACTCCACACTAGCCACTTCAGTGAATACAAAGAGGACATTCCACCCCCAGATGCCGACTTCAGCACTTTCTATCAGTTGCCTCAGCACTTTTGATCAGACAGTGTGTCTTCTATGACACGGCGCTACCTCAAAACATCTCCAGAACCTGGAATCGGGGCTACTCTGCAAAGCGGCCCCTTTTCATTCTATGTAGCTAGAACACAAATCTTTTCAGGTTTATTCAGGATCTTTAGTTTCAATAACAATTCTAATTTAGTCTAGCTTGCCTTTTACCTCTTTTTGGCATAGACCAGAATTCTTTAAAATTACAGGCTTCCAGTGGAAAATAACTCTACATTTTTGCCTCTCTGGCAGACTGCAAGATTTATCTGCTTATTTTCCTGCAGCTAAAACAGGTCACAGGAAGGAACTGTTAAGGTTATGGGTTTCCCCCCAACACCCCTCAATCTCACATTACAAGTACTGAAACAGAGGCAAGATAAGAGCACGTTCCAGTATCATCTTGTTTCATTAAGAACACTTCTAAAAAATGGAAGCGCTCCTTTAATTTACTTGTCTTACTAATGCTTCATGCTGAAAAGAAGTATTATCTATTTCACAAAATCTAATTTGTCACAGACATAGTTGCGGTGCGTTATCAACTGCTCTAATTTTTCCTGAAGATCACGAACTTGGACCACAACCAAAAATAAATAAAAATCACACACATCTGCTGGCATGATTTCTAATCGTTCTGTTAGCATTGCAGAGTTGTTGGCATGCACGTAAGCAAAAAAAAAAAAGGGCATTTCGCTATTAATAATAAACAAAACAAGTGTCTAATTGAAGGTAGCCATGGCTCGCTGCTCGGCATTTAAGATTTCTTTTACAGCACTTGGCATTCTGCTGCAGTGCTCTTAAGCTGCGGCTCTGTGTACCCACAAACACAATAACACTCCCAGGAAGATGGAAACTAAGCTTGCCTCCGATGCAGAAAGAAGAGACACTGACCTGGTGAAGAACTCGGCACTGCTTAGGAAGATTTCATCCGCTAACTCCATCTCCTTGGGACCCAAACTATCCGTTAAATGGATGCTAACCCGAGGAATTCCATCTGACAGTCTCGGCTGCAGCATTAAAGGCGTCAGTCTTCCTGGTTTGGACTTTACGATCTAGAAAAGAAAAAAAAGCAAATCAAAGAAAGTGCAGCACTGTTAAGGGACAGAGGAATTTTCACAGCTCATTTTTTTGAGCACAGGTAGAGTGGATTTTTAGTTTTTAAATCCCAGCAAAGAATGACTCAGCAGTTCCCACCTCTCGCCCCACCCCCACACACCTTCTGTTATAAAGGTAAGCATAAAAGTATACAGCCATAGCAGGGAACATCTAACAAAAGTCTTGCAATGCATTGAAATGTTCAAAAAACAAAAAAAATCCCACAAGCTGGAAAATGTGATTAAATAAATAGCTTCAGAGAAAAATGTGCTACACATTTTTGTGTGTGTTCTCTTTTCCATTATCTTCTACCTTATGTTAAACTCCCCAAATAAAGGATGAGATGATGATTTATCTGAGAGAAAGAGTGCTAGACTGCTAATATTGAAATAACAACACACGATTAGAGGTGTTATTATGTACATTATGTAAGTGGAGTTAATAGCTGTCTAATGGTGACTCAGCTACATTTATGGTATTCTTCCTGGTAATGCTGTAAATCTGGTTAACATCTGGATATCCCACAGAAATATAACTGAATTTTAAATGTATTTGAATTGTTCTAATGTTTTATATGGTATTTTAATTGTATGACTGTAAGCCGCCTCAGCGAAACGGGCAGCACAGAAGTTTAATAATAAATAAACATTTTATTTGTGCTTGCTTACTTTACTTAAAGCAACACCTATTATTAGGCAAGAAGAAATACTAGAATACCTTTTTCTCCTCCTCCTCCTCCTCCTCCTCCCCCTCCTCCTCCTCCATCATCATCATCATCGTCTGGCTAAAAACATTTGTTTCCATTTTGAAGCACAAGAACACAACCAAACACTTACGTTATAGGATTGTTACAGGACACCATGTTAGGAAACCACCTCCCAACTGCTTATTAAAGCAGCTTGACTTTGGAATATGTCAGCTTGAAGTGATGTTTCTGTTTAAGGAGTTGATTCTTGGTCCCATTATACCTCAGGCTGTACAGGTATGATTTATATGACTTGATTGCTTAATTACCATTCAATTCTGAGGGAACCCCAAAACTCCGATTCCCCCACTCATGTACTGCATTTCAGGGGCTTAGCAAGCAACCCTGCAGCATCCCAGTCGTGTGACTGTGATATACGTTTTGCCGAAAACTGGTGTTTACCTTCAGTTTGTGGCAAAAATGCCCCATGGCAAACAATGGGTTTGCTTAATGACTGTGGATTCACCTAATGACCACAAAGATTCATTTAGCAACTGCCGCAAAAAAAAAATAATAATCATAAAATTGAGTTGATCTGATGAAGAGCTGCTTGACGATGGCCAAAACTTACAACTGTAATGGGCGGGTTCCATTATGGGTGCAAGACCAGGATTGCCTGTGGTTCATCAGCAAGGCAATTTTAAATGAAAAAGTTGATCTCTATACTCATTGCAATGCTGGAGACCTTTAGAAGACAGACAAGTTTTCACCAATAGATCTTACGTTCAGGATTGCTTTTTGATAAATAAATCTTAAGTGATGACTTTGATGTTCAAGAGAAAAGGCAGGATACAAATGGAATAAATAAACTCTTAGGAAGTCAGCAGAGCACAACAACTGTGAGCCACTACTGTAAAAAAATAGAAGTATGAGTAGCGGTTTTGAAGGTTGGTTCCCAGATGGGAGTGTGGGGCTTGGCAGGAGCCTACTACTATGCCAGTCCCCCAAATGCCAAGTCCCTCATTGAAAACACACCACTCCTCCGTGTTATTCAATCTTGGAAACTTTAAGATGCACGGACTTCAACTCCCAGAATTCTCTGGCTGGGGAATTCTGGGAATTGGAAGTCCACACTTCTTAAAGTTTAGACACACCTTTGCCTCCAAAGTAACACGTATAAAGTAATTTATTCACTTGGCAGACCCAGTCAGCAAATTGAGAGATTTGCCCCGACCTCAGTTGCTTATTGATGCAGCAAGATCTGATCAAGTTATGTCAGCTTCCAAAAATTTATTTCAATGAAATGGCTGTCCCAAGCCGAATTCTTCTTGAAATGGCCCTTCCAGGTAAGACATTTTAAATATAATCTAGAAAAGGCTCAGGTGTACTTTTATATTATTAGTTTTTGGTTGATCTGAAAAAAGCGAACCCTGCATTGTGGGAAAATACTAGTGAAAAATAAAAAAAATAGTCTCAAGAATACACTTTTGGGAGCATCAATAAAAATAGGGTGCCCATTATAGTCTGACATCCTTTTCTTTCTCTCTTCTTTTATTTTTATTTTTTTGTTCCCAAAAGCAGATTGCAAGCAAAAGATAGATCTTATTAAAGAATCTAATGAGCTCTTGCAAAGGAGTCTGATGGCTGCCTGAAATGAGCCAGAGACAAATGAGCCATATTTGACCTAGAACAGGGGTGTCCAACCTTGGCAACTTTAAGACTTGTGGACTTCAACTCCCAGAATTCCTCAGCCAGTTGAAGTCCACAAGTCTTAAAGTTGCCAAGGTTGGACACCCCTGACCTAGAAGATCAGGTTTCTCTATGGTCATAAAGGTAGTCCCTGAACTTACAACAGTTTGTTTAGTCACTGTTTGAAATTACAAGAGCACTAAAAAAAAAGTGAGTTGTGATGGTTTTTCGCTTATAACCATTGTGGCATCTCCAGGGTCATGTGATCAAAATTCAGCATTTGGCAACTGACTCATATTTATGACAGTTGCAGTGTTTTGGGGTTTTGTGATCACCTTCTGTGACCTTCTGACAAGCAAAGTCAATGGGGAGTCACATTCACTTAATAGCCGGGTGACTAACTTAACAATTGCAGGGATTCACTTAACAACTATGTCAAGAAAAGTTATAAAACGGGGCAAAATTCACTTAAGAAATGTCTCACTTAGCCACATAAATTTTTGGGCTCGATTGTGGTCATAAGTTGAGGACTCCCTGTAATTAATTGTGCTGAGGATCTATTGAGACTTTTCACCATCTTCCAAACAACGCAGCCTCTTTTCAGCCTCATGCAGGTTGATATAAATAGGGTTAGCTTAAGCAGAAAGAGAAGAGAAACTCTGATAAGTTCTTAACCTTCATGCCCAGCCACGATGATATTCAGTAATCTTGTATTTTTATCTTTCTGTGCTGTCATCTGGACAAATCAATATCAAATCCCCTGCAATACCTTCAATAGGAAACAACTGTGGCAAGAAAAATCATAAAATGGGGCAAAACTCATTTAACCAATGTTTCACTTAGCAACAGATATTTTGGGCTCAATTGTGGTTGTAAGTCTAGGACTACCTGTAGACTGAATGCAGAGCCATAGTTATGACTAAAAGAGCAATCGCAGTCTATATCAATGTAACTGATACTGAATCATCAGTTTTTTTCCATTTGTTTGGGGCCAGTTGACATGTTAAAGGACCCATGACTTATGATTAAAGCTGCATTATAAAAACATTTCCAAGCTTTTAGGCATTGCTCCAGCACAATGTTAATTTGAAGTCTATTTTGGAAAGAAGAGGGAACCCAGAGTATTGAATTTATGTAATCTCGGGCCTATTAACAGGCCTCCTGAGGAAATATTTTGGCAACTGCACTGCTAAGATACATGAGCCCTGAAGCCGACATACAGAGACCTAGCAGTTGGACAACTTTAAGAAATTCTCACTGCCTTGTTTGCTTTCTCAAGAGAGATGGCTCAAGGTGACAGCGGGAAACAAAACAAAAACAACAGCACAACCTGCAGAAGTTCACCCATGGAGTATGTAAACGAGGCCAAGTTATGTTAGCATCTCAGGCCTGCCTAAATAAATGAATAAATCCATTCATCCACCCACCCACAAGAACCTCTTCACAACAGCAAAATTATAGGCAGTCTTCTATTTACAACAAGTCAGTGGGAAAGCTGGCAGGGAATGTTCAAAACTGCCGCTGCCGCTGCCTGTCCTTTAACCTCTGGAGGCTGTCTGAAAGAGCTACCTGCCAAGGGGAGCTGAATTCCTTTGGCAGGCTGCTGAAAACCTGAAGACTTCAGGTCCATTCCTGCACCCTGCCAAAGGAGGTCCTTTTTGTGCATGGAAGGGACTTGAATTCCTGCAACAGGCAACTCTTTCTCTAGAGACAAGCAGAAGCCAAAGTCCAAGCAGTGAGTGGAGACACGGTATGGTAGGAAGTATGTGGTGCCTCCGATGGATGAAGGAGGCCCGGTGACGGCCACTCACAAGTGTCTCTTCAGTCAATGGCTGAAAATCCTGCTTGCATTTCAGTATTTTCGATTCCTGAATGAATGATGCTTCCTGGGGTTTTCCCCCACCTTCCTGAGGCATCTTGCACTCCTTACCTGGAACTCATGTCTGCTTAATGACTCACAAGATCGCTAAATTACTGCAACTGAGAGTATCAGGATCGGATTCATTGGAAAAGCAGTCACATGGGCATCTCTCTTAATGCAAACTTTGCTCAAAAGATCAAGGTTTCAGCCCCAGTAGTGATCGTAAGTTGAGGCCACATAAGTTGTACTAATACAGCAATAATGAATAAGATTTGGGAACAATTCATGAGATCCTAAAGGACTTCACAAATTATTTCACAAATGAATGTATCAACGTCTCAAAGAAATGGAGTAAAAAGCTTACAGAAAAAGAGAGAGAAGAATATTGTAGCCCATTAGTAAGAGGCAAAGGCGCCACGTTCTCTCAACCTCCAATACAAGACAATCAAAAGTTTAAGTAAAGTCACTGCAGGGACACAATGAAGTACGCTTTAAAAAATCAACCAGAGTAGCTCCAAAAATTAACAAGAGTCCAGAGAACCACATTTTCAGAGCCTTTGTAGGAAAAAGAAGCTACAGGTAGTTTATGTTGCTAAGTGAGAAATTTGTTAAGTGAGTTCTGCCCCATTTTACGACTTTTCTTGCCACATTTGTTAAGTGAATCACTGCAGTTGTTAAATTAGTAACCCAGTTGTTAAGTACATCTGGCTTCCCCAATGTCT